TCCCCTAAGCACACCTCCACATCCATTTCTCGAGCCTAAATACATCAGGAGCTATGTGACCTGGAATACATCATTTCTCCCCTCCGGGCCTCAGTTTTTCTATCCATAAAGTGGGGGTCATCACACCCAACTTGTAGGAATGGATGAGGCTAAATGAGATAATATAACAGTCCCATGTCCCCTTTCTGAGCCTTAGTTTCCCAATTTGTAAAATGGGTTAATAGGGTTGTTTGGCTCAAAGGAGATAGTTTGGCAGCTATTTAGTGCACACGGCAAGAGTTTAATAAACTGTAACTTTATTTTTTAATTTTAATTTTTTTTAACTGTAGCTTTAAAAACATGTCCAGTACAGAGCAGGTGTTCCAAAACTGGAAGAGGAGTCTAAGTCATCTTCCAAGTTTTAAATTTTTATTCACTATGATAGAATATATTCCATCAGATAGAATATATTCTATCATATAGAATATAATTTCCATAATGTCCTTACTTGTTTTCATTTCCCGCACCCTACTTGTTCTAAATGATTGGGTCTTCTATGCCACTTTTTCTATCCACATCGGTAACAGAGATTTAACTAATTCTTAGGGTTATTACGATTATGATTATATATGTTTTGTTTTAATATACCAAGGAAATACACATTCCTCTGGTAGTCATTGCAGTTGATGAAGAACCTTCATACCCATTGTTTTATTAATTCTCCTAACAACCTGTCAGGTATTATTACTTCCATTTCATAGGTAATAAACTTGAGGCCGAGACAAAGACTTGCCCAAGATCACATGGTGAGTTGGGGGTAGCACCAGGACTTGGATCCTGTCATCATGCCCACACCCCACACGGTCTCTCGGAATGGACTCGAAGCTCCCTGAGGGCGGATCAGTGTCCCTTCTTAGACTGTCCCCTCTCAGCTCCGCATCCTTCAGGCTGTGTGTGCCCCAGCTGGGGTGGAGGTGTCTCCCTACTCTGCCTGGTCCAGGGCCAGAGGAGCGGACAATCCCTGTCAGTCTGTGCTGAGGGCCTTCTCTATGCAGGGATCCCTCACCCTTTGGGTGCTCCCACTTCTGAGGGGGAGATGTTACACTAGGGAGTAGAAAGTGGGTGTTTCTTTTTTTTTTTTTTTTTTAAGGTTTTATTTATTTGACAGAGAGAGACACAACAAGAGAGGGAACACAAGCAGGGGGAATGGGAGAGGGAGAAGCAGGCTTCCTGAGGAGCGGAGAGCCTGATGCGGGGCTCGATCCCAGGACCCTGGGATCATGACCTGAGCCGAAGGCAGACGCTTAACGACTGAGCCACCCAGGCGCCCGAAAGTGGGTGTTTTAATAGAGATTCAAACACCATGCCTTGGGCCGGCCGCAGGGGAAGCGGCCCACGGAGTAAGACAGGGGTGTAGAGGCGGGGTGGGGCTCCCCGGGCAGAGCTGAAAATGGGGAAGGCCAGGCCCATCTCGACCAGAAGTAGCCCAGCGCGCGGTGGCATGTGTGGATCCTCGTGGCTTCGGGGCTGGGCGGCGGGCTCTCGGGGCAAACCGGTCCGCGCTCCCGCTACAACTTGCCCGGCGCCCGCCCGTCCGCCACCCGGACTCCGCAGCTGGTGCTTCCAGTCGGCGGAAGCGGGACCCGCTCCGCTGGAGCGTCCGCAGCGCCGCCGCCCAGCCGGGGGACTTGGGCAGCCGCTTCTGCTCTCCGGGCCTCCGTCTCCACATCTTTCTGCACGACGGCCACAGGAAGGCCCACGACTCCGTGGTCGCGGGGCTGGGAGCGCCCCCTGCCTCCGCCGGCAACACGTGGGCGGGGCGGGGGGGGGAGGCCGGCGCAGTCCCCGCGCCCCTCCGGCCCGCCGCCGCCGCCGCCCCGCCCCCCGCCCGCCTCGGGGCGGAGCCACCGGCCGCCCCCTTTATCGGCTTGCAGGTCGCCGGGGACGCCGAGGCCCAAGGGTTCCAGCCGGCCGGTCTCGCCGCCGCGCTTCGCCCCGCGGTAGGTACAGGGCTGGGGAGAGGGGAGCGGGCCGGCGGCGGGCGCAGGGGTGCTTCCGGGGGCGGCGGGCGCGCGTGCAGGGGGCGAGGCCGAGCGGGGCCGCGGGGCCGGAGCCGGAGCGCCCCGGGTGAGAGGGGAGGATCCTGGGGGACCCGCTGGAACGGAGCACATCCGAGGGAGTGGGCTGGGCGGCCGGCCGGCCTGGGCGAGCGGCGGTGGCGGGGAGGAGGAGAGGCCGGGGGCTCGCTGCTCCCCCTGCAGGGGAATCTAGGGAGACTCCGGGGGCACAAGGGGCGCGACTACTTGGGACCGGATGATGTGAGGGCGTCCCACTTGGGGGTCGCCTAGGCCGGTTGGGATGGGGAAGCCTGTCTTGGTGTCAGGAAAGCATGGAGGTTTCCCCTACCCAGTGAGGGGAAGGGGAGGGAGCCCCACACCACCCATAGCATTTGCTTTAAGCCTGCAGGCTTTGGGGACCCCCAGAGGGGTTTCCCTGGGGCGGCCCGTGCAGGCCTGGCCTGAGTGAGGGGCCTGGTCAGGCCACAGCTGGCGAGTTTGAGAGTTTGATGGATTCCCAGAGCCTGGCTGCACCTGGCTGGATGGCCCAGGACCTTATGTTTTAGCTCCTGTGGGAGAGGGTTCCAGCCTCACGTCAAGGGGCTTGTGCCACCTCAGAACCCCTTGGTGAGAGGCTGCCCCACTCCAGCCTCAGTTTCTGTGACTAGAGGGGCCCTTGCTGGCTAGAGGTGAAACTTGGGTCACTTTTCCGTCCCGTGCTGGGTGACAGTAGCCAGCTCACCCAACCTCTCTGAGCCTGCTTTCTTCCTACAGGTTCTTCTTCCTTGTCCTCAGAGCATTAGTGAATCTGAGTTCCACAGAATTCCTTTGACTTACTTATTCTATTCTGATTACAGATGGAGGCCCAGGGTGCAGTTACAAAAAACAAAAATTATTTCTGTTCAGTTTTGGAAGAACTGGAAGAACTTTTTCTTTTTTTAAAGATTTTATTTATTTATTTGACAGAGAGAGACATAGTGAGAGAGGGAACACAAGCAGGGGGAGTGGGAGAGGGAGAAGCAGGCTCCCCGCGGAGCAGGGAGCCTGATGTGGGGCTCAATCCCAGGACCCTGGGATCACGACCTGAGCCGAAGACAGACGCTTAACGACTGAGCCACCCAGGCGCCCCTGGAAGAACTTTTTCTTAAACACATTCTGCCGAGTTGGGGAATTGGTTTGCGTTGAGGGAGGTGACCCAGTTGCTGGGAGATCGGGAGGCCAGCCAGGGATGAAAACTTTGCTATGTGATCTGTGGCCACCCACTGGATGCCTGGAAGTTGACTACAGTAGATGAAGGGCAAGAGCACTGGTTTGGGAGTCAGATGTTGTCCTGGCCATCCTGCCTCCTGGGCTGTGACACCGGCTGACATGGAGGTTCAGAGTCGCTTTGAGGGAGAGTTGAAATGTATGTGAAAGTTCTTTGTAAAAAGCAAGCCACTGTAAATTACTAAGGTTAGTGCCTAATCTTATTGATAGTATTTTGGGCCCTTATATGGTATTGTCCTTGTCAGGACCCCTCAAGAATATTTACCTCTAACAACTCCTGTGTTAACACAGGTCTGGCCTTACTATTATTATTGTGATTATTATTTTTAAGTAGGCTCCAGGCCCAACATGCGGCTTGAACTCATGACCCTGAGATCAAGAGTCGCGTGCTCTACCTACTGAGCCAGCCAGGTGTCCCCCCTGCCTTACAGTTTTTTTTTTTTTTGTCTGAGGTTAGACTTTGTCTTCTATGGCAAGATAAAGTTTTCTTTAAAGGAGTGTGCTGAACAATCAGGGCCCAGAGAAGCAACAATGAATATTTTGCATGCCAAGATGGAGGTGAGAGAGAAAATGGAATTACAACCAATTAATACTCATAATAGGCGTTTTTTTTTAGTTAGGCTATTAAGCTCCAAGAGGGCAGGGTATTAATACCCTTAGTTCTTACCCTTAGCTGGTAGTTAGCTGGGCTGTTGGTTCCATGAGGGAAGTGTCTTAACGGTTTTGTTCACTGCTGAAGCTCCAGCCCCTGGCACATACTCGGCCTGAAGCAAATATTGGAACGTCTCAGGGCCTGAAGGGCCCTTTGACGTTACCAGTAAATTCATTCTGTCCTTTGACATTTGGAGAAACAGGGCCAAGAGGGGAATGGACTTGTCCAAGGTCCCACAGGGATTGAACGGCTGAGCCAAGACTCGAACCCAACAAAAATAGCAGAGCCAGGCTGTGCCAGAGCCGACATGGCATCTATGACTTTGTTTTGCTGTCACAAGAGCCCAAGGGGTAGCTGTTACTATCCTTCGATTATGAATAAGGAAATAGGCTCAGAGAGGTTAAGGGACTTAAAAGCAAAGTCACACAGCCGATACGTGTCAGACTTGAAATCCCACTCTCACATAATAATGGGGACCTGGCTTCTCTTTGAAATAGTCTGCCCGAGGTGAGTGGTAGGCACCCTCCCTTGGGGCATCAGCTCTCCCCAGTGCTACACAATCACTACCTGCGTGCCTTCTCTCAGGACTGGATTTTCCTTAGCCCGTAGGCATTTTGTTTGTGTGGGTGAGGGCTGTCAGGGCAGGGAGTCTGTCTGCTTGCTTCACCCTGTGCCCCAGCTCTGTAGTTTTTTGCCTGTCATGTGCACTAAACTCAATGGGATGGGTAAAACTGGGGGCTTTCCCACTTCGAAATCCATTTTTTTTTTTTTTAAGACTTATTTATTTGACAGAGACACAGCGAGAGAGGGAACACAAGCAGGGGGAGTGAGAGAGGGAGAAGCAGGCTTCCCATGGAGCAGGGAGCCTGATGCGGGGCTCGATCCCAGGACCCTGGGATCATGACCTGAGCCGAAGGCAGACGCTTAACGACTGAGCCACCCAGGCGCCCCTCAAAACCCATTCATTGCCCCATCCCTACAACCTGGTCATCTGTTTTGCTCCCCAGGTATTTAGGGGACTCTCTGGCAAAGTGTATCAGGGAGAGACCAGGAGGAACTGGGGCAAGCCTGGATTGAGGAGCGAGGTGAGGAGGTTGACCTTGTGTTTAGGAAAGGGGAATGGGAGGTGGGAGGGCAGAGGAGGACCGAGCTTCTCGAATTCACAGGAGCTCCCACGTGGGCCCTGGAGATCTCAGTGCTGAGGCTCAGCCAACCTGGAAGCCTCTCAAACCTGTAAGACATGCCCTGGCCAGGCCACATGCCTTTTGGATCACCTGCTGGCATGGTCTACCCTTTTGACCCTCCCACTGGGGGATGGAGCAGCTGCAGCTGAGACCCTTTCCCTGGTGATTTCACTTCCCAGCCACGTCTTTTGGGTCTGTGCGGCACAAATGCGAATCTTCAGGGCTCTTTGGACCCAGAGAGGTTACTCTGAATGGCCTATGCTGAGGAGAATTCAATTATGAAATAAGGTCAGTGTCCCTAGAAGTTCAAACTCCAGCCAAATTTCCCTGGTCCTTACATGTGTCCTCAGAGAAAGGTAAACTATGCAAGAGACACAGTTAACCAAAGCCCCCAAATCCAGTGGAACCAGCTACTGAGGGCTAAAAGAGGACAGTTTTTTAAGATGATGCCAAGCCAATCTCTAGGGCTGAGGATATTTCAACTACTACTACTCAGGCTGGGGATAATTCAAATACTACTACTGTTAATAATAATTAGTTACTACTACTATTAATAGTTGATAATAACAGCAATTATTTATTGAGTCCCTAAACTGTGCTAAAACTTTATTCTAATGAGTTTAATCTTTACAGCCATCTATGCTATAGATAATATTATAATTCCCATGAGGGAGCTAAGGCTCAGAGGAGATGAGTCACTTGTCTTAGGTCACACAGCTAGCATGTGATGGACGCAGGCATCAGACCTGGTTTTTGTGAATCTGAAGTCCATCTCCTTCATGAGCCTTTCTGGTGTCCGCTTTCTTCTTTATTTCTAACTTCTTTCCATTATGATTCCTGGTGAGTAGGGACAGAAGCCAGTCAAGTTTGCCGGACATCCATCAACCAGGCCCTGGTCACCTGGTCTCAGCCCAGCTTTGCCCATCTTGCCGTGTGAATCTTGGGTAAGTCACAACTTTTTAGCCAGCCCTGGGTTTCCCCCGACATTTCATGTGGAGGGTAATGCTGAGCTTCCTTCTGCAGCTGAGGCCTGGCTAGGAGGGCAACGTTTAGCTGGGCTTTGACCTGTGTGGGAATGGTGATGGTGGGGAGGGGGAAGGGAGAGGTGGAGGTTTTCTTTAGCCCCACCCTCTGGTGACATCACACAAGACACCTCCAGCCCTTGGAAGCCCCGCCCCTAGTGACTGTCACCTGTGGAAGTGCCACTCAGTGCTCGGCATCTGGTGAATTTGCCCAGCCCCACAGCGGAAGCCATCGGCCCGCAGGCTCGAGGAAAACCCCTAGGTAACCTAGGCTCGGAGAGGGGCCATGGAGGGTGGCCCGAAACAGGCAGGTCCTGGCAGCCTGGTGGGCAGATGACTCTGCAGATTCTCTGGGGGTGGTCTCTGGATACCTACCGTCCTCCTTTCAGCTCATGCTGGACCCCTGCACCTTTCCATGGAGTCAGGAGATGGGAACTAATTCTGAAAATAGACGTATCCAGATGGAATGGGGTCTCTGGGTGAGGTCTAAAGGAAGTAGGGAGCAGGATCTCTTTATCCCAGGATGTAGCCTCTGGGTTCTGTGCTTAGGCCCCACTGTGTCTGTTGGAGGAGGAGGGCCCTGAGGGCGCTATCACCAGCTGAGGAGGTGGCTGTGAGCTAGGGCTTCATTGGCGTAGAGCCAGGGGGTGGCTGGTAACGTGGGGAGCCTGAGGTCCCTGGATGCGTGTCAGTTGGTAGAAGACTAAGGAAACAATTTATGGGAAAGGCCTTGGCTACCTGCTTTAGACCATTATCTTCCAAAGTAGTTCTGTGGAATGCAGATTGGCGTGACAGGAGCCAGCGTAGCCTCTGTGTGTGTGTGTGTGTGTGTGTGCACCTTGGGGAGGAGCTCCTAACCTCTCTGAGTTTCACTATCCTCAAAAAGAAAATGGGCATAATACCTGCCTCAGCAGGCTAGTTATGAGAGTTAATTGCAACAAGGTTAAAAAGAGTAAGCATATAGTAAGCACGCATTTCAGCTGGCTTTACAATATAATTATTACTAGGAAAAGAATTCTTGGTCAGGTAGGCTTGACAAATGGAGGTTCAACAAAGCAAAGCTGCCTTCTTTGCTGCAGGACTTCTCAGAGCCTTTAACAGGCTGTTATGACTTGGAAAGTTCTAAGAGTGGGATATGGAGCCTTGGACTAGATTTAATGGATCACAGGGACCCAGGAACTAGGCCACCATCGCACACATTATCATTCCCTGGTCTTTTCCCTTGTGGTGGAATGGAAACCTTGCTGGATTGGGCAACTCCGGGGAAGGGCTTCCTGTCTCTGGGCTCTTGTTTTCTCAGTGTAAGACAAAGGTGCTGCATGAGACACTTTCAGAGGCCTTTTCTGGCTTCCTGAGGTTCTGAGTTGGAAAGCCAAAGTTGGAGACAAGGGTAGAGGCTGAAGCCCAGCCTCTTGGGGAGGAGAGGACCTCCAGTGCTGGCTCCTCCACTAGCAAGGCCGGCCAGGCGGCGGTTCTCATGGACGGAAGCGGCCAGCAAGGTCTGCTTCCTAAACCTGACCTCGGCCATGCTGTCTGGGGAATGGGAAGTGGGAGAGTCCTGCACCCCCCTGTCCAAAGCACCCCTTGTGCAGTATTGTAGCGACTTGTTTAACTCCTGCCTCCTCACTGGACTCGGAGAGGCCAGAGACCAGAGCTGACTTGAGAAGTGTAATTGGCGGGGGCGCTGAGGGATGCAGGTCAGGCTAGGTCGGGGTGGAGGGTGGGCTTGTCTTGACACTGCATTCGCGTGGCAAGCTCCCTGCATTTATTGGACTTGTGTCGATTATTGGGGGGGATTTGGGGGTGATGAGGGTGCCGCTGGTGGCAGAAACGTGAGAGCTTTATCCTGCCCAGATCTCCTTGCCTCTTACAACGACTGGTGCACAGGTGGTTGCAACAAATATCTGACGAAAGATGGACAGAAAATCAGGGCACGGAGTCCAGTAAGCTCGTTGGAGGGATGGGAGTTGTCTGGCAGGTGCTAGTGTTTCAATAGATACTGATTTAATGAATGACACAGTGAAGGATGATAAGCCTGAAGTAAGCAACTGGTTTCAGGCAAAACTATATAGAAAGTATATAACTATGAAATGATTACTAGCACTTGTCACCTTGTCTTGCGAAGGACAGTTTAGGGTAGTGGTTAAGATTGCAAACTGAGTCCAGACCATGCCTCTGCCTAGCTTGGTGGGTGGGCAGGGTCCTTAACATCTCCATGCCTCAGTTCCTTATCTGCAAAATGGGAATAATGATAGTACCTACTCACAGGGTGTTATGAAGCATAAATGAGTCAATTATACGTAAAGGGCTTGAAACGGTGTCTGGCACATAGCGGGTACTGTATAAGCATTTGCTATGATTTGTTTTCCTTTCGATAATCTGCACCATACCATGAAGTCCTGGGGGCAGGGGTTAAATCTTGTTCCTCTCTGCTGTCCCCTGGACCCAGCACAGGACCTGAGGCAGAGGAGGGGCTCAGTAAGTGTTTGCTAAATGAACAAATGAATGAGTGAATGAATATGTTTTATATGGTACATTATATAACCTATACAAGGGGAGTAGACAGGGCAGGGGTAGTAAGGAGGTCCCTTGGAAGTGGCAGTTTGAACTGGCCCTAAAGGCTTTCAGGGGAGGGAAATAGAGGGTGATAAACAGAGTGTGATATCGGGTTAGGTGGGAAGTAAGGGTAGGAGCAGGGTCTTGAATGGCAGGGTGAAGGGTTAGATTTGATGTCTTTGGAATTAGCAGCCGTGGGTGGGAATGGAAAGGCTAGAGGAGGCATCTTCTGAGTGGAGGTGTGGCTGAAGGAAAGGGCTGTTTTTACAGAATCAGTTGTTAACTGGGGACTTCCAGGGGAAAAAAGTGACTTTTTGAGTTGGGGACTTTAAAAGGTATGAAGTGTTATCGGGATGCTGTTATGCTCTTTGATTCAACACATACTGAATGCCAGCTACCTGCAAAGCACTGCGGGTTCACAAAACAATGAGACTAACTGCCTACCCTTATGTGAGCTCACATTAACGATTTTAATGCCCACGAGAAATGTTACGATGGTCAAAGGATGGGTATCTTATGGTAGGCACTCAAGTAGAGAGGTCATCATCAGAGGTTCAGGGGGCCAGGGAAAGTGTCACAGAAGAATGGGTTTTGAGGGATGAGTAGGAGTTTTACCAGGTAGGCAAGATGAGGAAAATGTCTCAGGCAGAGGGAAGAGCTTGTGTAAACCTCTGGACATGTGAAACAGGCTCAGGGGTGTGGTGAGGCTGTGGCTGGGTTGGAAGTGCACTGTGGCCGAGCAATAGGGCAGGAAAAGGTAGCAGGGACCAGATCATGGAGGCCGATGGAGGGTCAGTGGGAGACCCTGCCACTCCAAAGGGGCTAAAGGTAGAGGCAGTGGGTCTGTTAGCTAGGTCACTGTCACCGGCAGGTGAACACAGATGGCGACACGAACATGGGAGAAAGCAGCAGGGGCTGCCGTGTGGACCTGGACTGGAATGGAAGTGGCTGAGGTAGTGAGCCACCTCCATTCATTCCTCAAGCATCGCTTGAGCACCTACGGCATGCCAGGCACGGTTCTAGGCACTTGGGATGCATCAGGGCGCGCAACAGCCGTCGGGGCAGAGCTGCGATCTTCCTTAGGATGACTCCTCTCTTCAGAAACTCAGTGTAGGGGATAAAGAGGGCGGGAAGGAGGGAGTGAGAACTGGGCTCCAGAGCCTCCCAGCTGCTGCTCGCGGTGGCCCAGGGCGCCCTGACTTTGCTCTGGCCTCTCTCCCAGCTCCCGGCCTGGCCCGCAGCCATGGCCACAATGGTGGCCCAGAAGCTCAGCCATCTGCTGCCCGCTTTGCGGCAGGCCCACCGGGAGCCGCGGCCCTCCGGGCGGCCAGAGCCCGTGTTCACGGTGGCCCGAGCCGAGGTGCCGCGCCTCTTCTGGAAGCCGTACATCTACGTGGGCTACCGGCCGCTGCACCAGACGTGGCGCTTCTACTTCCGCACGCTCTTCCAGCAGCACAACGAGGCGGTGAACGTCTGGACCCACCTGCTGGCCGCGCTGGTGCTGCTGCTGCGGCTGGCCATCTTTGCGGGGACCGTGGACTTCTGGGGAGACCCCCACGCCCTGCCCCTGTTCATCATTGTGCTTGCCTCCTTCACCTACCTCGCCCTCAGCGCCTTGGCTCACCTCCTGCAGGCCAAGTCCGAGTTCTGGCATTACAGCTTCTTCTTCCTGGACTACGTGGGCGTGGCCGTGTACCAGTTCGGCAGCGCCCTGGCGCACTTCTACTATGCCATCGAGCCTGCCTGGCACGCCCGGGTGCAGGCCGTCTTCCTGCCCACGGCCGCCTTTCTCGCCTGGCTGTCTTGCACTGGCTCCTGCTACAACAAGTATAGCCAGAAGCCTGGCCTGCTGGGCCGCACCTGCCAGGAGGCGCCGTCGGCGCTGGCCTACGCGCTGGACATCAGCCCCGTGGCGCACCGCATCCTGGTGTCCCCCGAGCCGAGCGCCGATGACCCCGCCCTTCTCTACCACAAGTGCCAGGTGGTCTTCTTCCTGCTGGCCGCCGCTTTCTTCTCGGCCTTCGTGCCCGAGCGCTGGTTTCCTGGCAGCTGCCACCTCTTCGGGCAGGGCCACCAGCTCTTCCACGTGTTCTTGGTGCTGTGCACGCTGGCTCAGCTGGAGGCTGTGGCCCTGGACTACGAGGCCCGGCGGCCCATCTACGAGCCTCTGCACACCCGCTGGCCCCACAACTTCTCTGGCCTCTTCCTGCTCACCGTGGGCAGCAGTGTGCTGACGGCGTTTATCCTGAGCCAGCTGGTGCGGCGCAAACTCGACCAGAAGACCCAGTGAAGGGCCGGGGGTGGGTGGGGTGGGGTGGCGGCTGGTAGGGGAGGGAGGTAGAGTGGGAGCCCCGGGGTCCCGGCTTGGCTCCAGAGGGGAACAAGGCCTGGTAAAGTTGTTTGTGTGTGGCCTGCGGTGACTTTCTGTGCACGCCTCAGCTGCCAAAGGCGGTACTGGCCAGTCCCTGGATTTGGGGATTGGCCAGGAGCTGCTGGGGTCCACTCCTGGGCCTGCCCCAGCCCCCTGCCCTGGGAGAGGAGAAGAGATAAAGATGCGGGCCGCCGACCAGGCTTGCCTCTCCCCATTGCCTCTCACTAGGGGTGAGGATCGGGGGTCAGCTGGGGCCAGGACCCTGGTTGGGAGCTTCCAGATTATCTGAGAGGGGGTGAAGGTAGACTTTAGGCCAGAGGCAGAAGAGGCCTCAGCAACCCCCCCCCCCCGCCAGATTTCATTGGTGGACAGGGAAGGGGCAGGCCCCAAATGTATGTAGGATCTTACCATCCCTTGAGCTCCAGCCTGGAGTTTTGGAGTTCCACAGAGGGTCCAAAAGTAGAAGATGGTGCTAGAGAGAAATGGATCCCACCCAGTGCCCATACCTCCTCAGTCACTGTCCCACACAGTGAGTCCCAGCCCTTCTAGCTCTGGCCTCTGTGACCCACACATCTTGTTCCCAGCCTCTCTCCTGGTTTCCTTGTCCATGATTCAGTTACCCGTTTCAGTGTTTCCTGGGCCTCTGCTCAGAGGCAGGCTACCAGCTGAGTCCTGTGGATCAATGCAGGATGATGAGAGTTTTAATACGGGAATGACCTGTCAGGGGAAGCACCAAGGAGGAATAATGCTGCCTGCGACCCTCACGGTCTTGGGTTGGGAAGGGTGAATAGGAGTTTGCAGATGAAGAAGGGCATTCCAGGCAGAGGGAAAAGCCTCTACAAAGGCCAAAGACATACTGAAGGGAGTTCAGCGGCGCTGGAGGTGGGGGTGGTCTGGACTCTGATATGTCCAGGATGCAATAAAGGACTGATAAGAGCAGCCTCTTTGCTTTTTGCCTCCTGTCCTGGGAATGGGGCCCTGGGGCCCCCATGGACCTGCTTAGCATGTTGAGGAAGTTTTCCAGGGCATGCTGGGGCCCCCAGGGGTGGGAACAGGGAAGAGGAAGGCAGTTCATGTTTTCTCTTTGCCTGGCGGTGGTTGGGGGCCTTATACACTATATATATGAACTTTTTCTTTTTGGCAGGGAAGGCAGGGCATTTTTATTACCAAATAAGTTTTAGAAGTTAAAGGAATGTGTAAAATTTTATATAAGTCCACTTTATAATTTGACAAAGATTTCATTTTTGGGTCTTTCCTTCAATCAAGAAGGATTTTATATGTTAATTTTTATAATACTGCTTTTCCACAGTACAGTTTACAATACAGTTTTCCACAGTACAGTGAAGGAAAATTAGGAAGTACTGATAAAAAAAAAAACCCAAGTGAATAAAAAATATCACTCTGCTGGGCGCCTGGGTGGCTCAGTGGGTTAAGCGTCTGCCTTGGGCTCAGGTCAGGATCCCAGGGTCCTGGGATCCAGTCCCACATCAGGCTCCCTGCTCAGCGGGGAGTCTGCTCTTCCCTCTGCCTGCTGCTTCCCCTGCTTGTGCACTCTCTCTGTCAAATAAATAAATAAAATATTTTTTTAAAAAATATCACTCTACTGCTAAACTATCCTGTTTATAGGGGCGCCTGGGTGGCTCAGTCGGTTAAGCATGTTGGGACTCTTTTTTTTTTTTTTTAAAGATTTTATTTATTTATTTGAGACAGAATGAGAGACAGAGAGCATGAGAAGGAGGAGGGTCAGAGGGAGAAGCAGACTCCCTGCCGAGCAGGGAGCCCGATGCAGGACTTGATCCCGGGACTCCAGGATCATGACCTGAGCCGAAGGCAGTCGCTTAACCAACTGAGCCACCCAGGCGCCCCAAGCATGTTGGACTCTTGATTTTGGCTCAGGTCATGATCTCAGCACTACGTGGGTCTCCGCACTCAGGGGGAGTCTGCTTGAGATTCTCCCTCAGCCCTTCCCGCTACTTTCTCTCTCTAAAATAAATCTTTTAAAAAATATCCTGTCTACGTATATATGTCTATAGCTAATATACATATATAAAGAACATCTATGGGGACTGTGGTTAGGGATGGAAGGATGAGTGGGATGCCAGCACTTCTGCATTTCTGAGGAGCTTTCACAAACTTTACCTCACTTGATCCTCTTTAAAATCCAGGGTCTCTCTTAAGCTGTGAAGGCAGAACTAGGAGATAGTTTTGGGAGCTGACAAACCTGGGACTCCAAATTTTTAGGTTTCATTTTTAACCTTTTCTTTTTTAAAGGTTTTATTTATTTGACAGAGAGAGAGCAGAAGTAGGAAGAGCTGCAGAGGGAGAGGGAGAAACAGGCTCCCCGCTGAGCAGGGGTCCCAACGCAGGGCTGGATCCCAGGACCCAGGGATCATGACCTGAGCTAAAGGCAGACACTTAATCAACTGAGCCACCCAGGTGCCCCACCCCTTTTTTTAAAAAGATTTTGAGAGAGAGAGAAGAGAAAACGAGTGGGGGGAGGGGCAGAGGGGGAGGGAGAAGCAGAGTCTACGCTGAGCAGGGAGTCGGAGCTGGGGCTCCATCCCAGAACACTAGCTGGGATCATGACCCGGCAGAAGACAGACGCTTAACCCGCTGAGCCACCCAGGCGCCCCCTTCTTAACGTTTTCTAAATCCTCTCCCATGTGGTTTCATAGTTATGCTTGGATTTTTTTTTTTTAATTCAAAAGTAATTCATAAACTCTAGTGTATGGTTACCACTTCGGGTAGTGCTGGGGACGCCGGCTTTGGGGTTGGCGGACCGCAGCCTTGGCTCCACCTTTCCTTTTGGGATGACTGTGAGGATGCAGCTGTGAAACTGGAAAACCCTGAGCCCGGGGTAGTTACGTTCACAGCAAGAAAGTGCAACTAACTGAGCGAAAAGAAACGCATATTCCTTGTGCATTGTCGTGAACGCGTTCACACAGGCTAATCGCGGGAAGGCAACTCTGTAATTCGAAGATCACAAGGGACGTGAAGGCCTTGGGAAACCGAAAGGTTCTCCACCCACCAGACGACCCTGCGAGGCCACCGGCTGAGAAAGAGGGGCGGGGCTGGTGCTGGGGCGGTGCGTGCGGCGGCGGCGGCGGCGGCGGCGGCGGCGGCGGCGGCGTAGCTCCGCCCCCGGCGTTGGCGCGAGATCCGAACGTCGGGGGAGGCAGTTATAGCCGCTCCCTGAGGCTGCGGGAGCCGGAGCCAGGTGTCCTGCTGGCTGGGTCACGGCGGCGGCCATGAGGCGGAGGGCCCCTGAGGAAGAAGCCTGCGGCGTGTGGCTGGACGCGGCGGCGCTGAAGCGGCGGAGAGTGCAGGTGGGACGTGGGGGCGTGAGAGGGTGTTGGAGGAGGGGTTGGGGCCTGGAGGAGGGAGAAGGGGGTGGTGGAGGTCAAGTCGGGGTCCGAGAAAGGAACAGCTTTGGGGCTTCTGAGGCTAGGGGGAGTGGAGCCTGCAGAAGGGTGAAAAATGGAGTTTGGGAAGAGTGGAGAGGAAATGGGACGAAAGGCAGGCAGGTTGTGAATGGGGAAGGAAGAGACTGGGACAATAAAGCTTCGAGGTGTGGTGGAGAGAAAATTTGCTGTGAGGAGTGTTGTTTTCTTTGTTTTTTAATTGAACTGTACTTGACGTTCAATATCTAGCACGTCATAGTGATTCGGTATTTTTATACATTAAGAAATCCACAGGATAAGTCTGGTTGCCATGGTCACCATACAAAGTTACTACAGTATTATTGACTATATTCCCTACGCAGTACTTAACCTCCCCATGACTTACTTATTTTATGACCGGAAGTTTGTGCCTCTTAATCCTATTCACCTGTTCCTTCCGCTCCCCAGCCCCTCCCCGCTCTGGTAACTAACAGTTTGTTTCTTATACCTATGAGTTTGTTTCTGTTTTGTTCTGTTGTTTAGATTCCACATACAGGAGAAGTTGTACATGTTTGTCTTTTTCTGTATGACTTACTTCACTTAGCATAATACCCACTAAGTCCATCCATGCTGTCGAGAATGGCAAGATTTCATTCTTTATGGCTGTGTAATATTTCATTGTATATATTTACCACATCTTCTTTACCCATTCATCTGTTGATGAACACTTGGGTTGCGTCCATATCTTGGCTATTGTAAATAATACTGCAGTGAATATAGGGGTGCATATATTTCTTCATTTGCTGTTTTCATTCTCTTCAGATAAATGCCTGGGAGTGGAATTACTGGATTGTAATTCTGCTTTTAAGTTTTTGAGGATCTTCTATATTGTTTTCCATAGTAGCTGCACCAATTTACATTCCAGCAACAGTGTATCAGAGTTCCCTTTTCTCTACATCCTCTCCACACTTTCTCCACATCCTCTCCAACACTTACTTTTTGTCTTTTTGATAATAGCTATTCTAACAGGTGTGAGGTAGTATCTCATTGTGGCTTTGATTTTCATTTTCCTGATAGTTAATTAGTGATGTTGAGCACCTTTTCATGTGTCGGCCATCTGTATGTCATCTTTGACAATAGTCTTTTCAAGTCCTCTGCCCATTTTTTAATCGTTTTTTAAAATATTGTGTAACTTTATATATTTTGGATGTTAATCCTTTATCAGATGTGTGATTTGCAAATATCTTCTCCCATTCAGTAGGTTGCCTTTCTGTTTTGTTGATGGTTTCCTTCACTCTGCAAAAGCTTTTTCGTTTAATGTAATCCTATTTGTTATTTTAGCTTTTGTTGTCCCTGTCTGAGATTTGTTCAAAGAAATACTGCTCAGACTGATGTCAAAGAGCTTACTGCCCATCTTTTTCTTCCAAGAGTTTTATGACTTCAGGACTTAACATTCAAGTCTTTAATCCATTTTGAATTTATTTTTATATGTGGTGTAAGATAGTGGTCCAGTTTCATTCTTTTGCATGTAACTTGTCCAGTTTTCCCAGCACTATTTATTGAAGAGACTGTCTTTTCCCCATTGTATATTTTTGTCTCCTTTGTAGTAGATTAATTGACCCATATACATGTGGGTTTATTTATGGGCTCTCTGTTCTATTCTATTGATCTATGTATGGGTCTGTCTTTGCGTCAGTACCGTACTGTTTTGATTACTATAGCTTTGTAGTATAGTTTGAAATCAGGGAGCATGATATTTACAGCTTTGATCTTTCTCAAGATTGCTTCGTGTTTTTGGGGTTCCATACAAATTTTAGGATTTTTTTTTTCTAGTTTTGTGTAAAATGGTATTTTGATGGATTGTATTGAATTTGTAGATGGCTTTGGGAAGTATGGATATTTTAACAATATTCATTCTTCCAGGCCATGAGCAGAATATATCTTCCCATTTATTTGTATCTTCAGTTTCTTTCCTCCATGTCCTACAGTCTTCAGAGTACAAGTCTTTCACCTGTTTGGTTAAATTTATTCCTAGATATTTTATTCTTTTTGAGGCAGGTGTAAATGGGATTGTTTTCTTAATTTCTCTTTCTGATAGCTCATTATTAGCGTGTAGAAATGCAACCATAGTTGAATAACTGTCTATGGTGACAGCTTCCTTCCTGGAGCAGGTTCTCTAAATTCTTTTAGGTAGTTGGGGGAAGGTCAGCAGTTATTCCTGAGCCTGCTGTTCCTTAAAAATAATCAGCCTAAAATAACACATATGTCAAAGAGGCACACTTTGGGTGGCAAATTTTGCTCCCTTACAGTGGCTACAACCTCCTGAACAAAGTAATTGAGGGCTGTTAAAAAGCATTGTACAACTAAAGTCATTTTTTGAGAAATAACAAATGAACCATCTGTTCCTTAAAAAAAAATTTTTTTTTTTTACTTAAAAATGTTTTTGGGGCAGGTACGTTCATCTGGTACATAATTTAAAATGCATGGCAGTGATAGGCAGCGAAATATCTCCCTAATACTTTTAACCATCCTTGGCCCATCTCAGAGGCCACAACTTTCTTGTGCATCCTTCCAGACATATTCTATATATGTACAAGCAAACGGTATCTATTCTTTCTTGTAAATAGTAGCATATTCCACATTGTTCTGCAACTTGCTTTTTCTCACTTATTGCATCTTATGTATCATTTCATATGCATCCACAAAGAGCTGCTTTATTCTTTTAAAAAAAATGATTTTATTTATTTATTTGAGAGAGAGAGAACACAAGAACACAAGTGGGGGAGAGGGGGCAGAGGGAGAGAAAGAAGCAGACCCCCTCCCTTGCTGAGCAGGGAGCTGCTTTATTCTTTTTAAAGACTAGATAGTATTCCATTATATGGAATAGTATCCATTATATGCAATAGTATTGCCTTAGTCTGCTCAAGCTGACAGTAACAAAATACTATACACTGGGTGGCTTAAACAACAGAATTCATTTTCTCACAGTTCTGGAGACTGGAAGTCCAAGATCAGAGTGCTGGCATGGTCAAGTTCTAATAGTGACAGTCTTCTTGGCTTGCAGAGAGTGAGCTGCCTCCTCCCCATGTGCTCACATGGCCTTTTCTTGGTGCATGTGTGTGTGGTAAGAGATGTGTGTTAAAAATTTTGGGCACGGGCACCTGGGTGGCGCAGTGGGTTAAGCATCTGACTCGGTTTCAGCTCAGATCATGATCTCAGGGTCGTGAGATGGAGCCCTATGTCAGGCTCCTCACTCGGAGTAGAGTCTGCTTAAGATTCTCTCTCCCTCTTCCCCTCCTGCTCATGCTCTCTCTTTCTCTCTCTCAGATGAATAAATAAATCTTAAAAAAGAGTTTTTTAAACTTTGTTAAAAACTGGTTCTTTGACTTTTTAAGACTTCCAGCCCAGAGCAGAGTCCTAAAGATTCCCTTTCATAGGATGTAGAAACCTGCCTTTTCCTAGGGTAGCTATCAAATAGGCACACATTTGTTTGAGTTTTAATGTCAGTCATTAATAGGCAGTTGCTCGGGGCCAGTGTTTTAGAAAATATGCCCCTTCCCACTTGATCCCTAAACAAATTGTCTGCTGTTTTGGGGCAACTAATGGGGTGGCTCATAGTCTAGCCAGAAAATAGATGCCTATGTTTGGAGTGAGTTTGCTTCTCTCTTGGTCCCACAGAGGCATGACAGGCTTGGCCTTATTACCTAGGCCTTGGTATGGAGGATACCGTATTTGTTTTCATTTCAGTTTTTTTTATTATGAGAGTAATATGTGTTTGTAAAAAAAAAAAAAATCAGTATAGGATTGTATTAAGTAAAAAACAGAAAGCTTCACTGGTGGTAGCTACTTTTAACAATTTGGTATCCTTTGAGACATTTTCTATGTGTATAAATATATCTGTTTCCCCCACAAATGAGATTATTTCAAACATATTGTGTTATTCACCTTTCACTAAATATATGATGGAGAACTTTCTATGTGAGACATGAATTTTAGTATGAATTTCTAAAAAGGCCGTTTTAATTTACATGATTTTCAAATTTTGTATTTTAACTTTGCTACCTCTTTATTAAAACATTGAGAAATATTTCTGAAAGGTTTTTCTACACAATAAAGAGGTAAAAAGATTTAGTATGTGTTTTGTATATTTGCTGTCTCAGGTGTATTATATTTAAAATGTCATAACTCAAAAATAATTTGTTTCTTCTTCATCTGTAATGCAGTTTAGTTTCTTACCCTTGAAATATATGTAGCGAGAAGGAGAAGTGGGCCTAAGAAGGGGACAGAACTGTGAAGATAACAGAAACCTTGGCTCAGTCATCAGTGGTTTCTGATGGCCTTGGTGGAACACTGAACACCACTGTGACATTGTGCAGCTTCACTAACATTCAGTCCATCAGCAAATTCTCTGGACTCTGCCTTCATATGTGTTCAGAATCTCATAATTTCCTACTATTTCTACCACTGCTGCCTGACCCAGAATGAGAGTGACCCTTTGCTCACTGTTAATTTTAAGACCATCTAGTAGTTTCCTATCTTCTGGTAAAACCCAGAATCTCTGAGGCCTACAAGGCATGATTTGGCCATGTATGTTTGCCCTCTCATACACTTAGACCTCATCTGCTACTCTTTTCTCTGCCTCACGCTGCTCTAATCATACTGGCCTTCTTGCTGGTTTTCAAGCCAAGTATACTTCATACCCCTGCAGGGACTTTTGTACACCTTGAAATGCACAGGGATTAAAATGCCACATGGCTCTGCTCTTTCATTTGTTCGTTTGTCAACTTATCATTGAGTCCATTTCTTAACCACCATAAAATAGCCTTTCCCTTATCCCGTACTCCCTAACACCTTAGTCTTGCTTTATTTATCTCCATAACCCTTTTACCATTAGATATACTATATACTGCATATTTACTTGTTCATTTATGATCTTCTCCTACTAGAATGAAAGTTCCATTAGGCAGTCCTTCAAACAGTGGCACATGGTAGGTACTCAGTATGAATTTATTGAATGAATGATCCATCTGAGCTTTACTTTCAGAAAACCTTTTAGATATGGTCATAGTTGCTCATTTTATCTTTCTCTGATGAGAAGATAAATGGGAGGACTTTGAGTTTTTTTAAAGCAAAGATGGACAGGAGGAGACCTCTAGTAAAATGGCAGTTTAAGTGTGTACTTAACAGGGGCACCTGTTAGTTGAGCCTCCGACTCTTTTGTTTTGGCTCAGGTCATGATCTCAGGGTTGTGAGATTAAGCCCTGCATCGGGCTCCATGCTCAGCAGACAGTCTGCTTGAGATTCTCTCTCTCTCTCTGCCTCCCCACTCTCAAATAAATAAATCTTAAAAAAAAAAAAAAAAAAAAAAGTGTGTACCTAACAACAAAAAAACCCCTCTGTGATACTTACTGAAATGATAAAAAAAGAAAAACAAAAATAGAGGAGAAAACTTATTTCACTGAAACTGAATAGGCTCAATAATAATACTGAAGTCCATGGTAGCAACACTGTTGGGGTTGGTGCTGTAAGACTGATAAGGGTCTGTAAATGTAACTTAACAAATATTTATCAATATGATCTTTACTGGCTTATGGTTTGTAAAACTTTTTTACATGTATTGTTTCACTTTCTCAGTAGCTTTGTGAGGGAGGTGAGATTATCTCCATTTTGCAGATGAAGAAATTGAAGTTCAGATAGAGATTTGCTTCAGATCACATCAGAGTAAGTGCAGCTCTATGGCTTGATTCCAGGTCTTCTGACTCTTGGTCCAGTGGTCATAATGTGTAAGGTGTCTTCAGATGATAAAAAGTGAATAATGTATTCACCTTTA